TCATGCATGTGAGAGGTTTTCAAAATGTGATGGAAATGCATATTATGAAAAAAATTATGCATGGATTTCAAAATTTTTTGTACCAAATTAAACTTGTCTTATTTTCTCCTAAACTTTTTGGGATACTTTTGTTTAAAGGTTTATTTATTATTTATTTGAAAGAATTACAGAGGGAGGGAGAGACAGACAGATCTTCCAACTGCTGGTTCACTCCTCAATGGCTGCAACAGCCAGGGCCAGGATGAAGCTGGGAGCCAGGAGCTTCTTCCAGGTCTCCCACATGGGTGCAGGGGCCCAAGGACCTGGGCCACCTTCCACTGCTTTCCCAGGCCATAGCAGAGAGCTGGATCAGAAGTGGAGTAACCAGGACTTGAACTGGCGCCCATATGGGATGCCGGCACCACAGATGGTGGCTTTACCCACTACATCACAGTCCCGGCCCCAATCATAGTGTCTTTTTAAATTTTTTTATGTATTTAATACTCTTTCTCTATTAATTTTCTTATTTTCCCCCACAAGTACATATTCATATTATCTGCAAATACTGATAACTTCTTGCAAGTTTTGAACTGGTTCATTCCTTCAATTCTGTTCACATTTGTCCCCTAAACAGAGTTAAAAGCAAGTAGTGAATATAGAAATCCTTGCCTTGCTTCTGCTTCGAATAGGGATTTTTTTTCATGTCTTTCCTATATAGCACGGCCCCAGCTTTTGGAACATAATACATGTTTTTGCTCATGGAACTTCAGCAGAATGAGCTCTCCCATGCCTTGTTCATGTCACTTCCTCTCCCCTGCTTGGGAGACTTATTCTGACCCTTCATGATTCTCGACAAGTTCCGTCCTCAGTCTGGAGACTTTCTTGTGCCCCAGGCTGCTAATCATCCACTCCTTTGCTTTCCTACACTGTCCTCGTATTCTTATTATATTTAGCATGCAATACACTGTCTTGTAACCATCAGCATATCTTTCTTTGGGCCAAGCTTTCTCTAGAGCAGGCACCTTGTTCAGAGCTTGATCAGTGGTGGGCCAGCCAAGCAGTTTCTGGGAACTCTGGTCTGATAAGGAACACTATTACACCAGTGGACTTATGTCCATCTGTACTTTCTTGTTGGCCCCATAACTTTAAAAAATTATCTACAAGGGAATAATCACAAATATATATCCCTTGTCCTGACCTGTCAACTGACAGTACATACAGCCACCAACTAAATGTATACAAATTCAAACCATACTAGGCCAGCGCCGCAGCTCACTAGGCTAATCCTCTGCCTTGCAGCGCCCGCACACCGGGTTCTAGTCCTGGTCAGGGCGCCGGATTCTGTCCCGGTTGCCCCTCTTCCAGGCCAGCTCTCTGCTGTGGCCCGGGAAGGCAGTGGAGGATGGCCCAAGTGCTTGGGCCCTGCACCCTATGGGAGACCAGGATAAGTAGCTGGCTCTTGCCATCGGATCGCTGGCCACAGCACGCCAGCCATGGCAGCCATTGGAGGGTGAACCAACGGCAAAAGGAAGACCTTTCTCTCTGTCTCTCTCTCTCACTGTCCACTCTGCCTGTCAAAAAAAAAAAAAATTTTTTCAAGCCATACCATCGTATGTGTCATGTGTAAAACAGAACTCTTGACTCCCTGTGCCTCCCCCAACTCTCATCCCTCTCCCAGCCAGGGGTAATGGAATTGTTCTTGACCACACTCTTTTTTTTTTTTAAATATTCATGTATTTAGGGGCATGCGCCATGGCTCGGTTAATCATCCGCCTGCGGTGCCGGCATCCCATATGGGTGCCGGGTTCTAGTCCGGGCTGCTCCTCTTCCAGTCCAGCTCTCTGCTGTGGCCCAGGAAGGCAGTGGAGGATGGCCCAAGTGCTTGGGCGCCTGCACCCGCATGGGAGACCAGGAGGAGGCACCTGGCTCCTGGCTTCAGATTGGCACATCACTGGCCGTAGCAGCCATTTAGGGGGTGAACCAACGGAATGAAGACCTTTCTCTCTGTCTCTCTCTCATTAACTCTATCTGTCAAATAAATTAAAAAAAGATTTATCTATTTGAAGGGCAGAATTACAGAGAGGCAGAGGCAGAGAGAGAGAAGTCTTCCATCCACTGGTTCACTCCCCAGATGGTCTAAATGGCTGGGGCTGGGCCAATCCAAAGCCAGGAACCAGGAGCCAGGAGCCAGGAGCCAGGAGCTTCTTCCAGGTCTCACATGTGGGTGCAATGGCCCAAGTATTTGGGCCATCTCCTGCTGCTTTCCCAGGCCATAGCAGGGAGCTGGATGGGAAAGTGGAACAGCTGGAACTCGAACTGGCACCCAGATGGGACAGCAGCACTGCAGGCAGAAGCTTTATCTGGTGTGCTACAGTGATGGCCCCCTTTGACCACAGCCTTGCCCACACCTTACACCACACCACAACAAGTCCTGGAAGCTCTGCCTCCAAAATATATCTGGTCCTGATATCTTCTTACCACCTCCACTGCCCAATTGTAATCATAGTTCAAGTCACACATATATTTTGTTTGAATTCCTACCATACATCTGAATTGTATATCCAATTTCTATTTTTTATTTTCTCCATGCAGTAACTGGTATGATCTCTTAAGAGAGTAAATCAGATAATATCACTCATTTTATTAAACCCTGTTATAGTGTCCTGTCACATTTAGAAAAGAATCTAGCCTTCTTCTTAACATATCTTGTGAAATATGTCTCTTCACTACAATTTCATTTCCCATCCACTTACTTTGGGTTTACTCTGTGCAGCCCCACTACCTTCTGTCTCTTCCTTGATGCTGGGAGCTCACACAGATTTTTCTATTTGCTGTTGCCTCTACCTGTCCTGCTTTTCCCCCAAGTCTTTGTGTGGACAACTCCTTCTTACCAACAGATCTCAGTTCAACTACAAATCAAAATCTAAATCAGCTCCCTATTCCACAGTCACAGACAGCATATTTATTTAGCTCTTAAATACCTGGCACTCTTTATTGCATCATCCTCTCTTATTTTCCTCCTTGAACCTGTTACTACCTGAAATTGATCTATAGATTCACTTGTTTAATGTTTATTACTCTACCCCCCCCCCCCCCCACTAAGATGTAGGCTTCATATGTACAGGGACATTATCTGGTGTGCTGTTTGGGACAGGCTTAGTAGCTGGAAGAATCCTGGAACATTCATTCGTTGAATGAATGAAAATTTTAAATAGTGTCAATTAATTCAAGTTCATTATATGATTCCTTTCATAAATGGCAAATAGGAATGAGTTTTCCTCTTGCTATTGAAAACTGAATCCTAGAATGTAAATACAAAGAATTTGTGTCTAGGACACACCAAACACTGCTGAGAGTTTTTATGACAAGTGTGTGCAGGCTGTCAGTAACAATTCTGAATCCACACAATCCTGTTGGAATATTGTGTTTTGGCAACTAGTGAACTCCTCCCTCCCTTACTTCCTTCCTTCCTCCTTCCTCCTTCCTCCTTCCCTCCCTTCCTCCTTTCGATTAAACTCAAAATTCTTTAACATGTCCTTCTGCTTAAGAAGTAGACCAACTTTACAACAAATCACAATTTAAAATGGAGGAGAAAAAAGAACTCCAGAAAACAGAGAAACACATTTTGACCACTTTATTTTAACCAGTGGAGGTGAAAGTATGTGAATTTACTTCTGCATATGATGATTAGTAAATTGCTTTCTCCCCATCTCCACTAAATAAATATCAAACAATAGCTAAACAACACGTGTTTAAAGTGCCAACAACTAGGCTACTTGGGAAATGTTATGTGCTAGCTTGCCCCAAGCTTGTCCCATTCATCTTTGTTTTACCAGAATTATCTCCCAAAACTCTGGATAAAGGCTGATGCTCAGTTTATGAAATAAAAGGTACAGGTGAGAGTCTTGACGCTTTACTAGGCATAGGAAGAGCTGAGGGATTTTTGTGCTCTCAGCACAGAATTTTCTAAAAGGAGCCTTCTAATGCGGAAAGCACACTCCGTTCCCTCTGGCCCCTTGAAGAGTTTACAGCAGGAAGAATCAGATACACAGAGCCCTGCCTTGTGTTTACATTACCCCAGACCAACAGAACAATGTGGCCAGACTCCATTTCAGTCTATTTTCCAAGGCTTGAAATCTTTAAAACATCTCTCTGGGTGTACTGGAAATCTCCGTGTAGTTGCATTTAGTGTAATTAGATTCAGCCAGTCTTGGTAACTGTGGTATGTGTGATGTAATTAGTAAAGCAACTTGTTGAAGGCTTTGTGCAGCTTCTTTTTTTTTTTTTTTTTTTTTTTTTTTTTCCCCCACAGGCAGAGTGGACAGTGAGAGAGAGAGAGACAGAGAGAAAGGTCTTCCTTTGCCGTTGGTTCACCCTCCAATGGCCGCCGCGGCCGGCGCGCTGCGGCCGGCGCACCGCGCTGATCCGATGGCAGGAGCCAGGAGCCAGGTGCTTTTCCTGGTCTCCCATGGGGTGCAGGGCCCAAGCACCTGGGCCATCCTCCACTGCACTCCCTGGCCACAGCAGAGGGCTGGCCTGGAAGAGGGGCAACCGGGACAGAATCCGGCGCCCCGACCGGGACTAGAACCCGGTGTGCCGGCGCCGCTAGGCGGAGGATTAGCCTAGTGAGCCGCGGCGCCGGCCTGTGCAGCTTCTTGGCCCCATTTGGGAGGAGGTGTGATGCTGACACACTGTGCAGAGAAAGAGAGTGCACCTATCAACATTGTCCAAGTGGATTGTCAAAGGAAGGCATGTTCTAATTAGGGCTGAAATGGCTCGCCTTGCTCCAGCAGGGATGATCTCTGTACATTTTTCCTCTAGAACCAAACCTTTCAGGTTTGCACTCGACCCAAAGCAGAATTTACCTTTTTCTAAGTTTCCACATTGTGGAATGGGATGGGGTGGGTGTGTGGGGCTCTTCCTTTCGACGTGGGAGGGTTTAAAGATATATATATATATATCTTTATATATATCTTTGAGTGAATAGAGCTTGCAAAATTAAATAATGATTCTTATGGATTAAATCACCTAAAAAGTAGAAACACCTGGCCATGTGTTTGGGGCTTGTGAAGGTGGTGATGATAGTGGTGATTTAACAAGTGTGGCAGTAAATCTCCCATAATGTAAAGTGGTTGCCAAGAAATGGTTGCTCAGGGAGAGACTGCATGTGGTAGGCAGAATAATAGCCCACCACCACAGATGTCTACACTCCAATTCCCAGAATCTGAGAACATGTTAGCTTACCTGGCAAAGGAGAATTTATGTTGTAGATGGAATCAAGGTGCTAATCAGCTGACCTTCAATTAGGGAGATCATGTTGGATTATGCTTTGGGATAAAATGAAGATATCAGGGAAGGAAGAAGCAAATGTTTGCAGCCACAAACTTCCTTGAACTCTGACTGACACAGATGAGGGTAACCTTGGAGCCACTGTGTCTGACTCATAGCTAACACCACCTGACCTTTTGGTAAAAACCCCAAATCTGATCTTGCCAGCTGCCTTGGGCAGGCTTCCCCATTGGATTTGGCATGGTTGACTTATTTGTGAAATCAGCAGAAAATCCATCCCAGCTGGGAGACATCAACCCCCTCTAGCCAGAACACACCAGCTCTCTGCACCGGGAGAGTACTCTTCAAAGGACTTGGGTCTGAAGGGCCTCCTTCCCTGGTAGAAGGTGAACCACTGTGAAGCTGGACCCTGGAACAAGGGGTACTCTGTCTCTAAGCTTCTCTGCAACTGCTTATGGGAGAATATGATGACTTTCTGACCACAGCCACTGGATGGATATGGATTGGAGAGCTGAGGGAGAGATAATAACGGTGATAAAAGTGAAACCACCTATTTCTGCAGCTTCATCATCTATACTCAAGCCAGCCTGATCTTCATTTCTTTTCCTCTTCTGTACCAAGCTTGATCCAAATCAGGGCTTATGCACTTCCACCTGGTGTACCATCTGTCCAGGGTGCTCTGCCTCCGGATCTCCAGTGGGTGCCTCTTTCCCGGATGGCAATCTTGGATTGAAGATCATCTCCTCAGCTCTCTGGCCATGCTGATAATGGTGCCTGCTGCCATGCCTGTTACTCTCATATACCGTTTATTTTCTTCAGCATTCCAATAACTACTGAAATTCTTAATTCTCTACTTCCAACATTGTCTATCCTGTTCAATTCTGTAGCCCCAGAGCCTGGATCAGAGGCTGGACTTTGTAGCTGCTCAATGCACTTTCACTGAACACTGCTAAGTGAATGCCTTGACTGAGTGTGCAGCAGGTTTCTGCCCATAATTCTCATGGACTACTCCACATGACCCTAGGAAGTATATTCTGCTTTCCTTGAGTTACAGAGGCACCTACAGAAGCCCAGATTGGGCAGAAAGACGCACTCAAGATGCCACAATTGGTAAGTAGAGAGCCCTGGATTAGAACCGGTGCTCCAACTGGTTACAACATTCAGAGTAGAGCTTCCAGCTCTGAGTGAAAGGACCACACAACTAAAGGATTCATAGCTTAAAGTCCAGGGTGATCTCATGACCACAGTCTTCTAAAGTAGTGCTTCACAAACTTTAATGTGCTTTTGTGTCACCTGGAGACTATTAAACTGTAGATTCTGATTCAGTTGATCTGTGGGATATGTACTGGGGGGCTGGGGGGCTGAATTTTGCAATCTAAGCTCTCAGTTGCTGTGGTAGCCATGTTTCAAGAGCTAGGGTATAGAGAGTCCTCTGATTTGAGAATTGGGTCAGCTAGTTGCAAAACAAAGGCAAAACAGGAGGGAATCAGTAAATCTTGTGGTCAAATCAATTGCTGCAGCTGAGCAAAGAGAGTGTAGTCTCTCCTTCTCTGGGAGAAGCGGATGTTATCCTAGCACCCTCTGCAACCTGGTCAGAGACTGATTCCGGAAACTTGGGTCTAGCATTTGTTTCTGAACCTAGATTTGGTTTCCAGTTGTGTAGCACTTGGCTCAAGACCAGTGAAGTGGCTGAGCCAACTATAGAAAGTCTTCTCTTTAGCAGTGAGTGTTTCCTGCCCTCCCCTCATCTCCCTGTTTGGATTCCATTCCTCGACCCCAAGTGCACTTGTCCAACTCTAAACCCCAAATAAGAGGCTTGCCTGGGGTTTAGGAGTTTCTAACAACGCTATATATTTTGCGGGAATATAATTTGCTGGAAATTTCTCCACTTAGAAAACAAGTGTAAAATATCTGTCCTGCCTATATTAGAGGATTGTTAGAGAGCTTCACAAAGTAGAAAGTAGAAAGTAGAATTTCCCAAATGTAGGTAGAATTCATGTTGGGTAGGATGAAGTCCTAGCATTATAAATCATTAATTGCAGGGAGAGAAAGTTATTAACTCTTGAAGTTTGTTTTAACCTTCCAATTAATTTAGAATAAATTCACACTTAGCACTAGTAAGTATTAAGCACTCTTACATTTTTTAATCTTTTTTTTAAAGCAGACAGGCAGCAGACAATTGTACAAGGGAACTTCAAAAAGTTCATAGAAAAAAAGAATTAAAAGAACAGTGTGTTTTGGTTCAAAAAATTGAAATCCACCATCCATGCATGCATACATGCAAATCCATGGACTTCTGAAGACCCTCTTTTGTATCTAGAATTTAATAATATTTTATACTTTACACTTTTTTTGGCAGTTACTTTCTATCTGGTAGATGATATAGGCTTTCCATTTAAGACAATTGGTTGTGTCCCATCCCTTTAAAGATGAATTTAAGTAAAATATGGCAATTTTAAAACGTAGTAAGAAAAATTACAGGTTGCATGCAGGTACTGCAGAGATTGCGAAGGTGATACACAAATGAGTCCATCTGAGACAAGAACATGTTAAGGAACATAAAGGGGTTATGACTGGGATATCATTCAGGGGAGGAAACAAAGACACCAGATCCAGCCATCTGGCCACATGCTGCCCAATCAGTACATGTTCTGCATGGCTGGCAGGATATAGCGATGAGTATTAATCCCAGGCAAGAATGTGCAACAAAATCCCAGCCATGGAGTTATTAGAAGTCTTTGAGTCCTTCTCTACTTGTGGAGGCTTTGGAGGAAAAATAAACAATATGGCTATGGAGAGACTCATCATCTTGGATCTGACTGCAGAAGAGAAGTCAATGGATATATTTTAGGCCTTGGAGCTTTTTGTTCACTATGGTTCAAAGAGTTCTAGTGATCGTAAATAGATGTTGTCAAGTTTGTGGTTGTTTCCTGAATCACACTGGAATAGGCCAAAGGAGTTACTGAATCTCTCTGAATTTAAGGCAACATTATTAGCATTATTGGCACAAATAATGCTAGTTTTCAACATTACATATTTAAATGAGAATTCCAGCTTAGCCACTCTTAGGGTCTGAATTATGTCCCTCCTCCACCCCCGCCTAACCCCCATTTAAATGTTGAAGTCCTAACCCTCAGCATCTCAGATCTTTCTGCTTTTAGAGATTGCATCTTTAAGGAGATAATTAATGGCTAACAAAGTCATTGGGAGTAGGCCTCATCCAGTGTGACTCCTGTCTTTTACAATAAGATGAGATTAGAACCCAGTCACATAGACAAAGTCCATGCAAAAGCACTGGGAGAAGAAGCGGTCTGTAAATCAAGCACAGGGGAAGCCAACCAAGCCTGTAGCTCAATCTCAGACTTCCAGCCTGTTGGATTGGAAGAAAATAGACTTCTGCTGGTCAAGCTGCCCAGTCTGTGGTAATGACAGCCCCAGCAGACTATTCAGCCACTTCCCATTGGCTGATCTTGGGCAATTTCTGGATATCTGTGAGCTTCAGTGTCTTCATTCAAGTATTGGAACAACAGTGTCTACTTCACGGTTATGTGCTGTAGATGCTGATGCATATAAAACTCTTAGCACAATCCCTGCTATGCATAATGCACAAGGAATCCTTGACAAGTATTTGATTTTCATCTACTTATTCAGCAGAATTCCCTCCCTCCCCCCTTCAACAAATTTAAGGAAAAAAGCAGCAGCACAGCTATTATTGCCATGTTTTGACTTAGATCTTGTGAAGGTGGTGGTTGCAAAAATTATCACACAGCCCTTAGTAGTCACCTACACAGACTCTTCTGGCACTGTTCAAATGATATCACCCTGCTTGATGAGTCCATTTTCTTTTAAATGTATGTCTCTAAGTAACTTTGTGCTAAACAGTATTTTCCATATCAAAAGTGCTCCACAGTCATGATGCATGAAGTGGAAAGTCATTTAAGATATTTGAGTAGTGGCATGGCATAATCATAAGATGCCTGTGAGGTGGGGAGGTAGATGCTGAGATTGGCAGCCTGGATACTGGCCTGTTACCATAATGTCCCAGGTGAGCTAGTGTGTATGGCTGAGTGATTGTGGATCTCAGCTGGGACCATGTCCTTGTTTTTCTGATTATTACCAAGACTTTAGGCAACTTGGTTTCCTCCTCTGTAATGAAAAATGTCTAATTTTATGGAAGAATTCTGTTCGTGTAGACTAAGATGAATACAAAATGCACATAATTAAGTCAAGAATAATTTATAAGAACAGAAATACATAGTAGGCTTTGTATTTATTCTAACCAATAAAGTAGGTTTTGCATTATTTTCACACTTTTAGCTTCATCATGATTTTTCTGAATGATTTAAGAGTTCCAGAGTTACACATGTATTTTTGTAAAATACCAGAGAGGATTATTTACCTGAGAATATGCATTTTAAAGTTCTTCTTTGTATGTCTTCATTTTTAAAAATTTTATAACAATTGAAAAATGTGTTTATTATAGTGAACTCTATCAAAAAAACCTTTTTTTCTCTTCACAAAAGATCTCTAGGGTCAATGTTCCGTTTTCCTCTTTGCTTTATGCGCCCTTTATCGGGAGCATCATGTAGGATGCATCCCCAGGGCTGAGTATGGGAGTTGGGGTGGAGTAGGGAGGGGAAGCTAGGTAGGTGGTGAGGAATAGAAGTGGTAGCCAGCAGTGAAATAGTTAACTTGCCTGCCACTTAAGTGGAAAGACCAAGCTTGAGGCAATCCTGTGTGAGGCAGCAATAAATCTAAGACAGGCTTTCACAGTAGAACCTGAAGCTAGCCTTTTTAATCAGATATGTTAGCATCATTCAGCATAAAACCCAAGACTAACAAATTGAATTCATACTTGGGACTATCCTATAGTTATATCATAAAATGTAGCCGAGATTTTTAGAGGACTTGGATACATCTTATGTGGCCATTGTCAATTGGGGATCATATGTGGTTGAAGGTACTCCCAAGTTTACCCCATCCAAACCCCCAAAGCATAAGATGTAAAACACACTGCGGGGCTCCCAACTCCTAATCCACACATTAGTTCCAGGTAGGATGAAAAGACTAGAAACACTGAGGTTATGCCAATAAGCTCTCTCTACTTGACAAAATCATTGACTAAGTCCCTATTAAGGAGAAAATTGATCCTTCTGATAACAAAACTCAACTGAATTTTAAGACATGGCTACAGTCAGGTAGAAGGAAGACTTAACTCTTAAAGGAGAGAAAAATTAGACAGTTAAGTGTTGGAAGTTCTCCAAAGTTGTGGTGCAAACATCTTTTGCTTAATTGGTTTAGCAAATCTCCAGCTATTTGAACCAGCCCTGGTTTTCTGGACTGGGGCTCTCATGATTTGTAGCCCCCAAATCATGCTCTCAGAACGTGGGAACTAGATTACTTCATTCTGCTCCTGGGAAAGGGAGAAGACTTGTGGGATTTTAAATGAATGCATTAAATTTGTTGATCATCAAAGGGAAAAGTAGAGAAAAATAAACAAGCTCTTTATAAGATCTTGGCTGAAATACAGGGGCCAAAGTTGAAATCCGTGCTCTCAACCCTGTAGATTTTGCAAAAGGCCTTCTGTGTTTCCTCCCAATTTGCTTAGGTTGGAAGGAGAGATGTATCTTTCTTTTAGGGGACTTCTGAGCCCTCCCTCCCTTTCTACTCTGCATTCTTTTTCTATGTATACGACAGGGTAAAAAGAGGGATAGTAAATGCGCTCCCTGAAGCATGAAGGATGGCAGCCTCATGGTGGTGTTTTGCTTTTAAACAAAATAGACATAGATATATCTATACATTTTGGTGAAAACGAAATAAAAGTATGATAAAGTAGATATTCTCACATGCAGCTGTAAAGATAAGATGGTATACCCTTTTGAGAGATAAATTTACCAAAATATATCAAACGCCTTAAAAATATTCATAGTCTTTGATTTAATCATTCCCCATTGGGATTCTATCCAAAGGAAAAAATCTAAAATGTGGACAAAGACTAATGTATCAAGATGCTATCATAGCATTGTTTATAATAGTGAAAAACTCAAAGAACTTCAATGTTTACCATATGGGAAATAATTGATTATATTAATGTTGGTCCAAAGCCTATA